CCGAAACGTCGGGCAAATAAAATATTGGTCCCAGAGAACGCTCTTCCGCCTTTAATTATATCTGTTTACAAAGCGGCAAATGTTGTGCAGCGTTCATAAAATTTAGGTAAGTGTACGTACGAGATACAACCCTATAGTTGATGAAAGATGGATTAATTTAGTTTACAAATGTTTGCACTACAATTCTGTTACGTTTTGTGCCCTAAAGATAAATAATGCACTTACAAGGGACCAACATGTGTTTTACTACGCCGAACTTACCAGGCATATTTGACTCAACATGAACGTCACGGAATAACATATGTTTTCTTATTAATATTGTTAGCTAACTCCATCCTATTTTGTCAAAATATAGAAGAAAATCAACAGATATAAATACTTGGAACGTAACAAGCAAAGGATTATCACGTTTAAAATTATCGAGGCATTTTTTGGGTCACTCTGTTGTGCAAGTAAAATCAAAGAACGGTGCCCTGATGTAAAAGAATGTATTAAAATCTGCTCTGGTTAACATGGAAATGCGGTAAAAATATCCCATTTTGATCCTGACTTTACCTTCAAAAAGGTAACGTACGCAGACAATTGACTCCGAAATATCTAACTAGAGCGCTTTTTGGGGAGGTAACTTGCTATAGAAAATTTTCAAATTAGATTTAGACGTATTCATCCTGGGCTTTTGTTGTAGAACTCCATTTGTCTTGGCAATGAGTTGATATGTTTGGGCGACTCTTAAGTCATGACCAATACAGGCAGCTATCTAAGGAGGAATGTTTAAGAACTTATTATTTAGGTAAATGCTTTTAAATATATCTTATTTCTAAGCTTTCGGCAAAATTTGAACGAAATTGGTATTTATGGACAAACAAAGCAAAACAGTGAAATTCGTAAGGTGTTCAACAAAATTTAGGAAACAAGTTCCTGCTCGTCGCACTCGAAATCTCAAAATAATTTTTTTAAATGTGAAAAAAGGACATTTCTTTTACTATACACAAGATGGCATGCATTTGATTTCAAGTACAACTGTAATCTAGCGTTTTATTAAACAGCCAGCCAATCCTTGTGTGGCCTTAAATCTATTTTTATTCCGCTCAACAGTCGCGATATGAAAACCATACAAAATATTTTTGCAATTGTCAATATAAATTGATACAAAGCACGCAAGAAACTTTTCGAGCCTTAACAACGGAAATGTTTTACGAAGTATCCACATTAGAAATTTTTTTTAGTTAAGGTGACCACATCCATTTCTGACACATTTAATGCAAGTTT